ACAAATAATTTAGAACATAGAAGTCATTATGCAATATTATACCTAATTTTTTACTTTTTTTTTTTTTTTGACAAATTATCACATTGAATAATATGCCACTTTTCATTATAATTGTATTATTTATTATAACATTTTTCTATCAGTTTATACTATTTTTTTGTTGAAAAATTATAACATTGAATGTCACATAATTATAATATTTATTATTTTATTGACTATTGTATTCATATTATTTTGTTAGTAATTATTATTTATCATAAAATACAATATTATATTCCAATCATATGAATTTTTTCTATCATTTTACACTATTTTAAATAATTTTATTTATTATTTGTATATTTACCACTCCTATTTTACGGGCTATATATTTTAATCGTGTATATTAACATGTAAGGGCAACTGGTACATTCGGTCGGGGGGCAACTGGTATATTTTTTAAATCCCGATAACAGCCGTGGGGAGCAACTGGTGAACACCCCCTAATATATCATCTTAGCGAGATATTAGGCGATCATTTGGCCGAATTTATATTTATCTTTGTTGTATAGGTACACATGTCTTGAGCTTGGTAATATTATACATAGTAGTATATAATATTATAATAATATAGAAGTATAATGTATATTATACTTGTATTATTTTTTTTTTGATGTATTAATATATAATAATGTAATCTTACCAGCTCTATTGCCAATCATCATGTATGTAGTAAATTTTATGATCTCGGGTTATTAATGTGAATTTGCCAATATTTTTAAATGTGATACGTCTGTATATAAATCTTCGTAACTTACTATATTCAACTCATGAAAAACTCTAGCTTGATCAGGTCTCATGCCCAGTATCGGATCTAAGGGGGAGGGGGCGAGCCGGGGCACATGCCCCAGGCGCTAATCGTAGAGGACGCAAATTTTAAATTTTAAACCCATAAAGCATATAGTGTAGGGGCGCTAATATTATGTTGTGCCCCGGGTTATATAATTTGTAGATCCGGTACTGGTCATCCCTAGTGGTGTATTAGTAAATAAATTTAAGGGTATACGGACCCAAAAGTACCTAGTTGAATAGGTTATACCTTAAAAATATTTTCGCTTCGCTCTAATATCTTAACACTTAAGTTGAGAACAAAATAATATTCGTACGCGGGTCGCCCGACCGCTCGGCTTACGCTCACACACAATACAATAAATTATTATATAACATACGACCGATCCGGATATGTGCAGAGACGATCGGTACACACTCGATCGATAAGCCCGATCACCAGAAAACCCGCGATTACATAAATATAAATAATATAAATTCTACAATAGTAAATATTATTTACTATAGTATTTATAATCAATGGTACCTATTATGTATTTACATTAAAACAATGTATAATTCATCATAGTATATAACCATCTGCGTTTTTCAATTGAGAAAAGTTAATTTATTTAAAACGTTTTTAACAATAACACTATATCATATTTGAGTATACCCAATGATTTGTTATAGTTTTTAAGGTTTACTTCAACTTGATAAACTGGCTTTATGGCAGAATAATCATTATTTTAACAACTATTAATATTTCTGAAAATATTTTTCCAACAGAAGTTCAAGTCGTTATAAAATTATAATACACATTTGAAGAGCCATATTTTCAAAAACTTTTTTTTTACCATTTAAGGAAGCCGGAGGGTCCTGTGGCTAATAGGCCATATCCAGAAAAAAATTTCGCAGGGAGGGTTCAAAATATGTATATTGTAATTTTATTTAATTTAGGTTTTAATATTTGGTTAAAAATAAGACATAATGAAAAAATTTTGGAGGGGGTCTAGACCCCCCTCAGATACGGCCTTGTATGGCTATAGTGCTACACCAACTACTTTTTTCCATATAAGAAATAAAAATCACACTTTTTTCAATTAATTATTAATCAGTTGATTTTTTTGAAAACTTTGATGTATCTAAAAAAAATTGAAATTGGTCTCAGATCATGGGAATGTTGGCATTCGCCATAAGCTATCATAACCTGAACTCCAACACTGGAGTAGATATATCAGTGTCAAAAGTAAATTTATAAAACGTCGAGATATAAAAATTTTTTTAATGTTATGTTAACTTGTTACCAGAGGCGGTTTGACATTTTCCAGTTGGTGGTTCAACAATATAGTTAATACCACCCGCCCACTAAATTTAAGGCACCAAATTACCTAATTTTTATAACTTTTTTGACAATAATTATTCATTTTAAAACAAGCTTAATAATTGCGATGATATGATAAATTAAGTACCCAATTATAAATAACCAAGTGAACGAGTCGACATTACAAACATATAGATATTAAACAAAATTAGTTTTATCTAGCGAGCTGTACATCGGCACAACTATGGTCAATGTTTTACTAGAACTTTATCTGCAGCACAGACCCCCTAACGGTTAGGGCCCAACTAATATACCGGCTGGCTACTAACAATACATCATACATGAATACATTCTTATAAGACTAGGTAGTGAATTAAAAATTTTAATTAAAGTTATAAATAATTATATACCTGGACGCATTTTTATATCAACTTTTACTCAACTACAAAATGTAGGTACCTACAAATAACATAATATAAAATCAATACAAATTTGTTTTTGTGTCAACACTATTAGTTACATCTCTTTCGATAATTTATATACATTTGGGTACACATCTTCAGTAGGTACCTATAACTATACTTGTTTAATATCATAAATATCAACATTTTCTTTAATTTTAAACAGGTAATTTTTGGCAATAAGCTTTTTTTTCTTAACACCAAAAAGCATAATTTATAACGAGTTGAAGAAATATTTTTTTTTAAATGTGAACGAATTTGAAGTTTTTTTTAATTTTAAAAAAATATCCTAATTGCTATTATGAATAAAACTTTGTCATAGAATAAATACGATTTTTTCAAATTAAAAAAACCTCAAAACCGTCTACAATACACACTTAAACACAAAAACAAATTAATTGAGCTTTGACTCATCAGTGGTCGAATTCAGTATAAGTGACTACATTTCAGCAAATTTCACATTAGAGAGTGGTTCAGTTATAACGATATTATTATAATACAATTCTAGTATACAGTTCTTTGCGATTTTCGAATAACAAAATAATGTCACATTGTCTCATACTTTATAGTTTATGTGACTATCTTTTCGTCGTAAAGCACTAAAGCTGTTTATAACTTCATAAGTTGATTGTTAATGTATGTGATTGTATCTATTTGTCGTCTTGTTGCTAATAATGAATTAGCCATCAAATAAACCATTCTTATATAATATATTACCTCGTATATACGGCTATACCGGACACTGATTACCAAGACCAAGTATACCTACCTATTAAAATGACACCCACCCCAAACTTTTTGGTGGTTCAGTGAACCACAAAATGCATGATCAAGCCGCCTCTGCTTGTTACGTAACATGTAAATATGTAACCATAAATTGTATTTTGTATGAAGGTTTCTGCAGAAGTATAAAATGTTATACAACCATAGCATCAATATACCAAACTTATATAGGATCCTAAATTACCCCCTCCCAACCTAAAAAAGGAAAATGGTCTAGCCATTGTTATCACTTGTATTGAATACAAGTACCTAAATTGTTTATCATAGAATTAAGTTTCGTAATGTATTTATAGTAAACCTTATTATACTTGTACTTATAAATTATAATATAAAAGGTATAAACTATAAATATTTATTTTTTTTAAATACTAAAATATTAAATAAAACATAATATAAATACAAAATAGTTCAATAAAAAAATATCATAAAACAACATAATTTATTTATTAATTAGCTAAACAGCTATATTTATTATATATTTATGAATATTGAATAATCATTTATCATACATAACTATATTTTCATATTATATGAATTGATCTGAAAATAATTTTCCAAAAATATGGGTAAGTACTGCATTAAAATCTTAAACGATTATCATCAATTTGTAACGTGTTATTCTGATCACACAAATATAATTTGGTATATAATATGGTATATATATATATATGTATGTATTTATATGTGTGTGTTTGTGTGTATATATTTTTTTTCTTCAAATTATTACATACATTTGAAATGTTATTTATAAAAATTATAGTAAAAAAAAATATGTATGACAAAAATATTAATAATAAACACAAAACAAAATTTATAAGGAAGACAGTCCAAAAAATATCACCCAAAATTGTATAATATGTAAATTTAGATTAAGACAAAAATACACATTGTAATATTGTACAATATATAATACCTTAACACATGAATATAATTAAAAATACAATTATTAATTATTATAATTTATGCTATAATATAAATATACATTTTATTTACATAATTTTTTGAGTTTAGATTGTGTAACTCTCACAGAGATCACTTTAATGGTTTATTTTGTTTGAACTGAAAAGTTTATACTATTAATGAGATTTATAGTTTTTACACATTTATAATATTTAATACAACTATGTATTTAAATATTTATTAATTATGTTGATATATCTCTTATATATGATACTATTAACATAATATTGTTTACAAGAGAATATTAAGTACGTATATAATATAATATCTGTAATTATAATACATAATATAATTAGATATTTTTCAAATTAAATAATTTATAAAATAATATTGAAAAATTCAAAAATGTCATGATTTAACGGGAGTAATAAAATAATATACCTACAAACTAAACATCAAACCTAAGCAATAACGTACTGAGCTTGAAACAAATATAATATTATACTTCACTATTAGGTAAAAACAAGGTAGGTACCTAAGTACTAATATCGGGTATAGGTATACACATTTTAGGTAACTGTTAAATAAACCGTTTCTAAACTTAAGCAGTTCAAATATACAAAAAAAAAATGTCATTAACCAATTACAGTAATAACATAGGAGCACCCTAAAAAAATCACCAGTTTTCCCGAAACAATTATTATCGATCATATTTTGTGCAATATTCAAGAAAGCAATACGTCGATTTCACCGTTATTTTCGGTGGCTTTGCGACGTCTGTCTTGTTGTTTAATAAACGCACTCAACCTGTTCAACAGAAACTGTTTGTCGTGTCCTTCAAGTACAAGTTGCTTGCGAAGAACCACAATCATTTTTTTATTGGATCCCATAACGGTGTGATAGTAGTAGACGATGCACGAAAGTATGAAAATCAACGGGACCACAAAGTTTACACTAAACAGTATTTCGTAACATGTAATCGTCCACGGAGGTATGGTGCGTATGAAATCGATCAAAACCCTCCAAATAGACGGTAGTCCTTTGAACGGACCACAAGACCTGGATGGCGTTATTTTTGATACAACCGCTAACCACGTGGTCACGCAAAGGACGTAAGACATGAGTAACATGGACATGATCATTGTATGTGCTCTCGACGGGCTGTACACCTTTTGAGCTAGGCTATAGTTTACGATACAAGAAAACCGTTTTATGTAAAACATTATCACCATCGATACTAGGCCAAGGGCTGGCAGCAGGGCGACATAGAAACTACCCAACCACACGATTATCTGAATGTATATAACGTCCAATACGTGTTTGGCCAAATTGAGTTCTTGATTGGACATCACTTGGAAGAGATTATTTTTAAAATGCCTAACCAGTATGCTCCGGGGACAACTAATCAAAATGGTGATGCCGATTTTGCACGCGACGTCAACAATAAGAAGCTTATACATAATTTTTCCCACGTATGTCTCCCAGCAAAGCGGAGAATTGCACAATGCACTTGCGCACTGAGATTTTTCCCGCACGCAGTTAATCAGCTTATAAATTGAACCCAACAGTACGACCAAAAGCGATAATCTCACGCATATTATTCTCAATATGCATAATCGGGTTTCTTGGTACATGGAACGGTTTTCAAACTTTAAAAAAACATCAAAAATAATTGGTAACACTATGTTGTAAAATGTTATCGCTACCGGTGTCGCAAATTCCAACAAAAACGCCCACATAAATGTTTGTTCTCGCTGCAACAACTTTATTGAGTAATAAAAAATCAGATAAACTGAGAAACAAGCAGATCCGATCAACGCAATGACTAAAAATGAAATGAGCAATCTAATTATTATAATGTTGACTTGCTTACTGCGATTCCTGTTTTCGAATTTCGGTCTATCGGCTATCAAAAACGAACGCAGCTCATTGAATATCGCCTTTTGTTTCAATATGGCCGGTATTTTATTGTTAATACAAAAGTCCCACCCAATGAAAATGCTATTGGAATACAAATAATATTGTACTTGAGTTTCTACCATTCTTTGTTTAAATCCCTTAATCGATTTCCTAACAATGATCAAAAAAAACAAAAGAAAATAACTAATGGTGGAAACGATATATGCTAACGGTATATGATAAGTGAATAATTTTCCGACACTGAACTGTTGATTAGGATAGTAACTATAATACATGGGCGTCGTTTCAACCCAACCTGTACCTTGAATAATATCCATAACGTAATGTATGGTTACTCGGGGCCTGGCTATCCTGGTAGTGTTCTCATAAATAGCACTACAACATTCAATCGAGGCACTCTCATTACTCGAACCACATTCATTCCAGAGGTCTGGTGCGATTCCTTCTTTTAATTCTACCCAATAAACTGAAGGAAGTATCAATACAATAAAAACCACAACCATTGTGAAAGCATTTAAATAAATTAACAATTTTATAAAAAGAAAGAATTCCACTACACCCGCACCACAGTGGCCTTCGATTTTTTTCAGACTCGAACTCCATAAATGGAATTTATTATAAAACTCTAACCACTTGGTTTTCAAACAATTACAAATTTTTCGCTTTTGCCATTTGAGCTGCTGGAAACCTTGAAGTCTAAAAGCATCTGCACTCTATAAACAAAGTATCAATATTTATCAATGTACAACAGTTTATAGTAAAAGCTACATTTAGATAATTAAGCATCTGTGTTAACTACGAATAGAACAATTAAAATAAAATACAGCATATTTAGTATCACTTATTGTAATTCAAGATAAACATTTTATGAAGCTGTCTTTGACTATCAGTCTATGTTTTATAAGGATGGTATTTGAAGAATAAAATGTTTATTTAGGTACATAAGTACATTTAGATAAATAGTATAATTATTAGGTGGTACTCGTAATCAATTATTTTTATAAATTTATAAATCAGTTATGTGCCCAAAGTTAACTTAATTTATTTCCAATTAATACTGTCTTAACACATGTCAAACATAAAACTTACTTTTAGTTTTGCTTTTAATTCTTTCTTGTGAGCCATACTAATTGGCATGGTTTTAATTTTCATAATTTCTTCCCATACAAGCTCTTCATTAGATAAATTCTCTGGAACCATTCAAAATTATAAACTCTTTATTGTTATTTATAGTTATTTATACATTTATAAATTAGTATGTAGAGTTTTATTACCTGACAAATCAGGCATTAACGATATTTGAATTTCGTTATTACAACCCATAGTGTTTTGACATAGCGTTCCATATTCCACCGGTTTTAATGTAGCTGTCGCTTGATAGCATACAGTTCCATTATTGATTTTTTTCCTAGCTGAAAATCACAAACACAAGTTTATAGTTGCATATCTCATACATGAAAAATACTAAAATGGTTATGTATGGATACTCGAAATACATTGAAACTATAAACCATTTACAAAATATAGTTAAATAAAATATTTAAATCCATGTAAACACTTCAAAATGTATACACATATTTTATAATATTGTGATAAATACGGTTGAAAAAGTATAGTTTCTATTATTTATTCAAAGCCAAATAAGTGCATGGTTTTGAATTTTTGATTAACTACCTTGCACAAACGTTATAAAAAAAAACTGAAAACTTAGTTGTAAATATTGCTTTGGCGCGGGTATTAATCTTGAAATATTCTATAAATCTTAATGTTTCAAATTTAGCAATAAATAAAACGTAATGTAGGCGACAGGAACAGGACATTGACAATATTAGGCAATTGGTATGGATACCTAGAAAATACCTAGATGTTATTTAAAATCGATATTACAATCTTCTATGTTGTCGACGTCTTATGTTGAGTAACATAAGTCATAACAAATTTAAGCTAATTTAAGGCCTTAAGGGTGAATTTACACACCTATTATAAAATATAAACGTAAGAATATTATTTAGGTATATCATACATTTTTATTGATAGCGGATTTTCAATTCGGGTTAAAAGCATTTTAAAATTGTAATATTTTACAGTTATACTGATACTTATCTCACTTTCAAATTAAAATATCAACAAAAGTCTACGAGATGCTCAATAAAATACTTTTACCTTTAAGTTTAATAATACCTATATGACAATTCGTACTAATTTGTAATATTGAGACGAATAACACAGAATAGATTCTTCAGAATTGTTTATGTTGTACCTATATGCTTGTAAGACAGATATATAATATAAACACATTATATTATATAGCTGTATCCTATAATAAACATCTACTGAATATGTGATGTTTCATTCCCACGAATTTTCCATAATAATTTATTATATTTACAACGTATAAATAATAATATTTTATGGCACAATTGAATATAATACATTTATTTTAACATATATATCAAAATATATTTGATTTACTACGTAATAATTATGTTAGTTTATATACTATTATATATTAGCCATTATAGATTCTATATTTCTATACACAATTAAAATTAATTACATAGTTATATGACGTTATACCTGTTCTTGTCTTATTACTAGGTAATAAAGTAGAAAGCTTATTTGGATTTTTTTGGAATGCCTCTAAATCTGCTTCCATGCCTGGATAGCTTTCTTGGTAGAATTCCGAGCCGGCTTCCTCCCAAACATCTATACATTGTGATCTCTTCTTTCTTTCGCTTTCAGACATTCTACAACTATATGGAAATAGGTAATTATATGGATTGAAATTTAGGTACCAATATTTCAATACTTTACATTTATCGATTCCAATCTTCTAAAATATTTAAGTAAATAATTTAATGAATTATTCTCGTCATTTTTAGTAATTCAAACTTCGTTCTATTTTGGCCATGATTTCTGTAAAAGCATAATAATTATCATACTAGTTAATAATTATTCATTCAAATATTATCAATACTAATCATAATAATTTGAGATGACTTATGATAAACTTAACATACAAATAACAAACTATAAGAACATATTATTCGAAAAATAATAACAACTATGCAGAAGGTAGGTACCTAGACGATGCATACCACGACGTCAAGTACCAACTAATAAACATGAATTAGGTATCGAGTATTATATTATAATTTAAATAGATGGATAGGTTAGGTATTAAGTGTCAAATATGTTTATTATACTTCATTTTAACATTAGTAACTAAAGTAACACAATAATAACATCGCAAAAAAAGTCAAAATAATTTGAAAATTTAATATCATCATGTCTAGAAATGTCAATATAAAATATTTGTTGAAAATGTAAAATCTCTTTAGTTATGCATTTTTTAATTTAAAAAAAATCCAAATCAATTTTGTCGAAATTTGGTATTGACTTTGGCATAACAGTTTTCCATATTTAGATTCTGAGCGGAGCGATAGTGGTTTTCCAATGGTGTTTATTTATTTTTTTTTTTTTTTATATCCTATATACAAAATTTCTACCAGAAGTAGTGCTTCGATTTCAACATATAAAAATATTAATATTATAATATTAATTCAACTTACATAATATAATAAATAATAACAATATAAAATATCCAGACCAACAAACCGTTTCCGTTCAAAATCGTTTTTCTTACACAATGATATTTTATCATTGAATTCAAGTTTAATACAATCCATTATACAATGACCCGCTTGTAACCTACTGTACAGCAGAGTGACATCCCCTTAAAGGACAAATTTCGTAATTTACGCTAAACTACGTAATCTGCTGAGCGTACATTTGGTAGGTATATTATGCACTTGTAACACGGAGACAACAATTAATGCCTATGTTACGTCTTCTTAAGTTGATCTCTCCGCTTACAATCTATTATTGATATTACAATGGTTATGAGTGTATTTTATTTTAATTTTTTCTTTATATACCGTCTAGTGTATACAAGATATAAAGATGAAATAATACTTTGATTTCCTACTTAAGTATATTTTCTGGTGGGAAATTGTATTTGTATCTAGTTGGTGTTTTTAAGAGGTCAAAAGGAAAATTCCAAGGCGTTTTCTAAAGCGTAAGGAAAAACAAAAAAAAAATTAATTAATAACGGAGATTTTTACTCAAAACCAGTTTTTGATAAAATCAATATTGGTTTTTGGTGTAACTACAATAAAAAATAAAATTTAAAAACAACATTTTCACCAAATGTTTATATTAATATTTTCTCGAGTATTTTCTGTACATGATAACATTTTCAAAATATAATTGACTATTGTGGGCTGTTTTATATTCATACGATTTTTTTATTAGTTATTTTATTAATTATTGTCGATATAAAAATTCGCTTGGTCAAAAAACTTGTAAATTAAATACAGGTTCCTCATAAGTTGTTGATTGAAATTTAAAAAAAAATTTAAAACTACAAAAAATTGAAAATTATTTTGAGTTCGAAATTCATAAAAAATTTCGTTATTGTATCTAAGATTTAAAAATGTAATGCAAGATTTCTCATAAGTAATATTCCTACCTTAAACAAAACAAAAAGTTTACCGAAAAGTCAAATTAATTTTTTATAAGAGTTTGAAGTCTACATTTTTTGGACATTGGTTATTCACTGCAAATTAACCTCGAAATTAACGAATTATCAACGATTTTCTAATAATTTGTTGTAATTGAAAAACAACTTACTATAGATAAGTACTTGAAATTTTTACGAAATGTTTATTTAAAATTTTTTTTATTTTTATAAATGATAAAATTTCAAGAATATTTCGATTAATTTTGAGCTATTTATAGAAATTTTAGTTTTTTCCTATAAATGTCAATAAATATTATTCGTTGCGTTCAAAAGCATGGCAAATGAAAATTGAATATAAGGTTCTACATAAGTTGTTATAAAAGCAGTAACAAAATATTAAAGGCACATATAGGCAAGATTTTTTTATCATAGGTACATTCTTCTAAATCTCGAAACGTTGCAAATTGTATTGTAGTTAAATATGTATAAAATGTTCAGTTTTTATACCTAATGATTTAAAACTTAAAACAAGGTTTCTCATGAGTAATTTAAACTAAAACCGAAAAATCTAAAAAATATATATTCACACTTTTTTAGATATTTTTAATTCAAATTTGGACCAAATTACATATTTTAAAGAGAATAACAATTTTAGTTATTTAGTTTTAAAAATACTATTCGTGAGCACTTGAAACTTTTAAAGTATAATATTGTATTTAGTATTGAACACACACAATGATATCTTCAAATGCAATGTTTTGTCCAAATTTAATTCAACCTACTTTATGAAATACCTACCTACTGAATACTGATGGTAAAATAAACTACTTAAATAGCAATAATATCACTAAACATACTTGGTAATATAGGTATTATGTTAAATATGCTCGAATGAAAACATTGCACTGAACTTTTCAATCTTATTTTCAGAAAAAAAAATATTACAAGAATTATTTTATTTTTTATCTAGGTACAAGAATATTGTATTTTATGATACTTTTTATATCGGCTATTGTTATCAATGATGACAACATCCAACATAAGATAAATAATAGTATATCAATTCAATATTATATTTATATGTAATTAGTTAGTAACTACTATTATACTATAATTATACGCTCTACTATATACCTATATACCTACCTAGTTAAAAGTTAAATTACAATTTACTAGCCTACTATAATAGTACTCATCATTATTGATGTAATTTATGTAAATAGCATTAATTCCAAATTATAGTCTCTACCTACTCCCATACAACCCTACCAATATGTTTATTGTTATTTAATAAAAGGTTCAGGTGATTTCCAATGTATTATGATTTATGAGCTGTGTCGCACGGTATATGCGCAACAAATCTACCTATTACCTATATAGGTGCATTGAAAGTTTCTATTTTAGCGTCGTGACACAATATATTATGCATAAAGACCATTATGAAAAAAAAAAAAATAAAAATAATAATAACAATAATAAACGGGGCGATCACAGGCTTGAGGTATCTAAATAATTTTTTATACACATTTTAACTTAATATTTGATTATAATTTATAAGGTAGCCCTTACCTACCTATTAAGAGTTTGCAGTTATCTCACCAGGTACCTACATCTCTACGAGCTGTGTCGGTTAAGTTACGTTTACTCATACTTCATAGGTTGGATAACAATATCATTATCATATTTTATCACATTATTATAATATTATTACTGCCGTGTACGTTACTTGATTCCGAGCGAACGGAGACGGCTGTCGGGACGCTGCCGGCTGGGCGTCGGACGGCGCGGGCGGCGGCAGTGGCGGCGTGACGACTGCAGCAGCGGTTGTCCGTCGGACGGCAGGGTGGCGAGCACGGCCGCGAACCGCCGCCGAGGCGGCAACAACACCGGCGGCGGCCGAAGTGCCGTGTCGCCGCCATGGCGTTGTCGCGCCGACCGCGATATTAATACGAAAATATCACAAATTCAACCAGAGACGAACAACGTTTATGATTGTTGTCTTAGAAAAGAAAAAAACACGAAACGAGGTGGCGGCGAAACGCGTACTCCCGCCGCGTAATCTTAATAGTAATAATAACAACAACAGCGACGACAGCTAATGCGAACGACCTGTATAACGATAGCTATAGTAATATTATTACGACGTTTGTTTCGCGTGGACCGCTCGATGTCCGCGTTACCTACCTATTTCGGGACGACCGCGTATTTCAAGACGACGATGATATAGCTCGCCCGCGGTGGGTCGGACGGGTGGGCGGTGGCTCTCGACGACGACGACGACGACGAACGTGGCGCGACTTCAGTGTGCGTGCGCTTGTGTGAGTATGCGCGTCCAAGATGGGTTTCGCGGGTCGGCCGCCGACGATCGATCGATAACACCCTCTCCGCCGTACAACCCTGTTTTCCCGTACATTCACGCGCGTAGGTAATCATTTCCCTACCGTCGTCGTCCCTTTGGCCACGTCATCATCCACCCACCCCTCGCCTACCAGGCACCGTGTGCAGTCTAGAAACTTTGGAACGTTATAATGCGGTCGTGCCGTAGCGGTTTGATCACTATATTATTATTATTATTATTATAAATAGTGGTTACACATTGTGCTCATTAATTGATGTGTATTCTACACTTGTCACTTGTACCTACTGAATACCCGCGGAGTATATTCAATATTATACCTACTGAATACTGACAAATCTAAAATGTTCAATTTGTGCAATAACACAATAGAAAAAGATAATATATATGTTATTATTTATTATAAATATATGCGGCGGTCGTTATAAAGCGTTTGTAATAAAATGTATACTTGAAAGTTGAAGTTGTAAATGTTACGTCCAAGTGTCCAACTGTAAACTAATTGCTTTCATTATATAAATCGTAAAATAGTTGAGTACCTAATGAGTTAAATAATAATTTGCAAGACTAATACCGTTTGTGACTTTTCCGGTAAGGAACATAAATGTAACAAGTGGGTTAACTTCGCTGTCTGAAGGATATATCTATACTTTTACTATATTGTATTATAACAAACCAGCTGAATCCAATGATAAAAATAAATAACCACCAATACGCCTATGTATCTGATATACACAAACACCAGTAGAGTATCTGAAGCTCGAGCCTCGACCATGGGTAGACACGGTCGTTAATTTAACTACGCTTTTAATTGATACATGGGGGGACTCCCTTTCACAGTTCCACGCCCCACATTAAGCGACTTCTTGAGTTTATATTTTATAATTATATTTCTTTACTTTTATTTAATGCTTATTTGAAAATTGTATGTCACAGTTCCAGTTATAAATACATAACAAAATCCAACGCACCACGCCCAAGCGAGGGGCGATCCACTCATTACCCCCTCAAATTACTGCCACTAACTAACACTAAGGTATAGAATAATATTCTCTTCGAGGAAATAAGTAAATTATAATAAAGGAGGAATATTAACTGTTATATAGGTACTTATATATTATGATGCTTATGCAATTACTTTACCAGGCTCTCAGCACAGCTTTGACGTACTTACAGCGGCGGCCTACAACTGCTTATAATGAATTCAGATTATATGTTTGCCAATATTTACATATTTTGTATTGATTGTTTTTTACATGTGAGAACACGCAGCAGGACTTATATTTATATATAACTTTTGAGGGGCATTACAGTATACCTAATATTACGCACTCTATTGTACCTAGTTACCAATTTTGATATTAATATATAATATTATAATATACAATAGAACCATTATAATATGACAACTATAGGTTAGGTTAGGATAGGATAGAAATCTGAAGCATATAGCAAATATATTTTTGAATAAATATGATTGGGGACTGGGGAGGGGGAGGGGTTAAAACACGATAAACATTACACTAGGCCACTGAAACCGAGATAGTCGCTCTTCTGTATATAGTAGATTTCGAGTGTACAAGTCATTGGGTCACTGTACCAAATGAATGTGTTCAATATGAATTCAATAGTAAATCAATAAATTGTACATTTGTACATATAGGTGCGAAAAACGATTCTGAGTGGAGACAGTGGCACATCTCTATTTTACTATTAATTAATTATTCTAGGTCCTATTAGTCATTAGGTTGGAGGGTTGAATACCCCCCTCCCCATGTGCATGTATGCCACTATACCTACCTAATATCTATCATAGAACGGTGTGAGTATAAGCGATTCATGATATTATAAAAAGTTTAAATTTAGTGAATTTGAAAAATTCATTGTGTACATTAGTATACGTAATTATTGAAAAATGTTTCAAATCCTTATGATTAATATTTTTTTAGCTACAATTTACAATACAATAAGTAATTACTAACATTGAAAATACCATTATTTTTCATTTTATATTCAATTTTGTACCATCTTTTTTTTAGATTCTGAGCGGAGCAAGGATGCTAGTGGTTTTACAATGGTGTTTATTTATTTCTTTTTTTCTTTTTTTTATATCCTGTATACAAAACTTCTACCAGAAGGAGTGCTTTGATTTCAACATATAGTACCCTATCTTTTAGCAAATTGGACCAAGATGGTACTTTAGAGAGGTCATTTTTCGATTTTCTCAATAGTTATTTAATGCCACGGGAAAAAGTACTGAAAAATTACGAAAAACCGCTTAAAATGGGATTTTAATTTCTAACAATTTGTTTATCACCGTAGCAACGAATAAAAAAAAAATAGGTAGGTATTATCTATATAAATATCATAAATTATTAACATGTATCATTAACTTATGAGTCAGTACCGACTTATCATAGAACCGCGGGTGATTAGGTTCATGGTAGGAAATAGTATAAAATTAAAATTTGTTGTGTTTATTTTTTTTTTTTGTCTACGAATGTCAATAAAATTGTTTATATAATTTCAATAAATTGTTACAATAATAGTTATAAACCAGGAATAATGATTTTAATTATTTTGTTGTAGTTTATAGTATTAAAACAACTTACATGTTATAATAATTAATGACAATATAAAATATACAGACTGACAAACCGTCTCCGTTCAGAATCGTTTTTCTTATACAATGATATTATATCATTGAATTCAAGTTTAATACAATCCATTAAACAATGACCAACTTGTAACCTACTGTACAGCTGAGCGACATCCACTTACCTGCCTTTTTTTTTTTTTAACATTTATTTGGATATATACAATCTGTAATAAAAATTTACAATGAGCATATGAGCTGGAAAATAAAATACAATTGACTTTGGCGGCGTGAGGGGAGTAGTTCCCCAGCAGAAACACTCGACATGTACCATCTTAAGTGATAGAAACCTTGCTTGTATTCATTGTATTATACCAAAATATCCGAGGTTTTGTATTCACAAACAAAAATGTTACCATCCAAAAATTGAAAATTGAAAATGTCTAAGTAGCAAAAAAAGAGCAAAAATAAAAATATTTTAAAAATTATTCAATATCTAGAAAATGCTATTATAAATATGTATTTGGTTAAAATTTCTATCTATAGCTATTCATTTTTGATTCACAAAAAAAATATACTTATCAGCTATTGATTTTGTCGAAAAATGGTGTTACTACGAAAGTATTCTTGTTTTTCCATAATTTTTTTTTAGTTTTTCCTGATTATTTTTAAAATCACTGTAATTTTACAAAAACAATAATTAAAAAAAAAAAATCTTTTTTTTCCGCTTAGAATCAAAAATGTTTAAATAAAAATGTACTTCATTAACTTAATAAATAAAATACCCCTATGAATATATTCATAGTTTTTCTAATAATTATACAATTATTTTTTTTACGTATTATAAGACTATTTAAGGTTGCTCAAAAGTCAAAACTGTTTGTTCTAAGGACTATTTACATTGACAGATGTCACTTTCGTTTTTTAATGTGATTTTTCAAAATAGGCAATTTGAATAAAACTTTAAATTAAAAATACATTAAAATATTAAATGGTATATAACTATAATATATTAATAAACTAATTTAAAGTAACTTATTAGAGGCGGTAATACAGTTAACATTCCTAATTCAGTATTTCAGTAACCGTATGGGCCTTATCCCTTAATAGTTTTGCATATTCACAAAATAATGTAAAAAACGGTTTCTCGCAGGAAAAAACCCTGAGTTCTATTATAGTCATAGATATGTAACCATAATTTAACCATACACTTTTAAGTTCTAGACTTAAAAACATAAAAAAAAAATGATACGTTTATTCGTAGTTTGTAAGTACTTACCTATATGTGACATAAAAAAATAAAACTTTATTGCATAACCAAAGTTTTCTTTTTATGGTGAAAATATAGTTTTAATTTATAGCCTGGGTGGTTTTCTTGCCACGTAAAATGGTTTTTAAAAATAAATTATGGACGTGAAGAAATTATGAAGACTTTATGCAGGTATAAGATTAGACTTCAATTTTAAAATCTTTATTTTCAGAAGTAAGTTGACAGTTGTAATAGACGTATACTTATATCTTATAATATATCACAAATTGTTGAATATTTTGAAATGTATTTTTCTGACGTTGTTTTAAATTTTCAAAAGTACCGGGGAAAACAAAACAAAAATTAAGGAAAAACGGGTAAATTGACACAAAATCGGTTTTTGAAAAAATAAATTTTGGTTTTTGTTGTTACTCTAAAACAAATTACCTAGAACCTAAATACATGCAATTTTAACTGGATGTTTATGTTAGTATTTCTTCTATATACGATAACATTTTCAAAATATGTTGACTTGTTTTGAACTTAGTACGGACATTTTGAACGATGAATGTATTCATTTTACAATGATGCCTTTTTTTCATTTTGGTGTCTGTCATCACCTTTTAGGACAGTAAAAGTGGTAGGATTTTCTTCAACAGTATCTTTTCTGATAGAAAAGTGAATCTAGTTGGAACTTTGGGGGGCCAAAAGTAAAATTGTCCTAGTAATTTTTAAAAGCGTCGTGAAAAACAAAAGGATAATTAAGGAAAAACAGGAATTTTTACACAAAATCTGTTTTCGAAAAAATCGATTTTGGTTTTTGGTGTAACTCTAAAACAAATAAATGTATATACATGAAATTTTCACTGGTTGTTTATATTTGCATTTTCTATACACGATGAAATTTTCAAAATATTATGATTTGTTTTGAACTATTTAGGAACATTTTCATTTTCCATTTTTTTTTAGTTTTTTTTCTAAAACTATCAATAAAATGTTATTTGTTGGTTAAAAAAGCTTGAAAATTTAATAGAAGGCTCCTAGTTAATTATTTCAAAGGCTGATAAGAAATATTAAAAATCCTTTAAAATTGAATAATTATTTTGTAGTTAAGAATTTATAAAATGTTCAAATTTTATATCTAAGGATTGAAAATTTAAAACAAGATTCCACGTATGTAGTTAATTCTATTACTAAAAAATCTAAAAAATACATAAGCACAGTATAGTTATTTTGTTGTGATTGTATAATATTATTCGTGGGTACTTGAAACTTCTAAAGTACCTATAGTACTTCTATATATCTATATGATAGTATCACTGTTTGTTATTGATGTATAACGCGTTATAAGTACCTAATGGATATTGTGATATGATTAATTTGGAATTTATTATAGGTACCTATTATGGGTCAATTTTTTTTAATACCATAGATAAGTAGATATATAATATGTCTTATACCTAGACTGACATACCGTCTACGCTCAGAATCGTTTTTCTTATACAATGATATTATATCATTGAATTCAAATGTAATACCATCCATTATACAGTGACCCACTTGTAACCTACTGTACAGCAGAGCGACTTTTTTATTATTATTTTAATATAATAAGACCTTTATAGCCTATAGATAATTAGTAACATACTTTTTTGACAAATTTTAACTTTATAATAATTAATAATTGTAATATTACAATTAATATTACAATAGTTCTGAATTTAAAATATTCTAGTAGTTCTCGTGGATTGACATGACGTCATGACGACATCATAATATTATTATTATAATCATGTCAAATTATAGAGGTATATAAATTATAGGAGGTACATTTTACAATAACAAAATATAGTAAATACCACCAGCTGATAAAACAGATTGACAACTGATAAGAAACGGAGTAACGCACTAACGCCCGCTCCGATCTAACATCTCCTACTGAAAGTCGTTGCAAATTGACACTTGCCGTTGGATTAAATTCTACAGACCACAACTTACTACTGTCGACTACTGTCCACACAGTACACACACTACTTAACAGTACGGCCGTTGTATATTTTGTACGTGAGCCGAGGTTGATTGCATCGCTTATTACGATTTACGGTGCAATATTCTACAGGACAGTAAGTTTTGTACTTGAGCATGTTTAACAGCAATTAATTATTAAAAAAACGTACCTATCTATAAATACGAATCTGTAATTTAATGTCAAGTTTTTAACTTAAAATCAATAACATTTAAAAAAAAAAAAAAACACTACTTACATTAGGTATGTCTCTTTTATTTAATACAAGACTAGTTAAATGCATAAAAAGAATTTTTCCTGTTGTCAAACATAATATATCGATCAATAGTTATAAACAAACATTAGTGTTTCCTAATTCAAATCAAAGTGCACAAACTTCTATAAGATACATTCTGTCAAATCGTACGAATACAGCAAAATCAATAGTCTTTGGATTTTCATTACTTGGTTTAATTGGACTTGACGAGAGTGATAAAGATAAAGAACTAATCTATACCATTAAAAAAGGCCTGTTGCAATTGCAAGTAAGTAAACATTTAACTTATTTAGAATGTAATATAGTATTTGCCTGTGTATACTGCAGTTGATTAATTATTATTATTAGGTGCTTATTTTATCAATTAATTCTTCATCATGTTATAAGTATAATTGTGTTAATTTATACTCCCACTTAGACATAGATCACTAATACTACATGCAGGGACAGATTGAGCCTTTGCGAAATTGGGAAATTTTCCGATGGGCCGCGTAATATCTAGTTGACGGGGACGCTGCTTGCGCTACCGAAACTCCACGACTAAAGCCTATTGCCAAGTGCAAACTAACAATAATTAGGTACCAAGAGACGGTTTTTTATTTATTGGTATCTCGTAATTTTTCCTCATAGCAAGAATTGCAATTTGCAAAAAGAAAGCAATGGGCCAATAGCTAATATGAATAAACCATTTTACTATAACTTCTATAACAGTATAACAGAAATTTAATAATAATTAATAAGTTATAAGTAATAACAATAACTCTAATCAAAAAATCAACATCTGTGGACAGTAAAATCCAAAATACCTTTTATTGTTAAAGGTTAATTTTATGATTAAAGTATTAATTATTTTCTTTTATACTAATATGCATTATTGCATTATTAATATTGTCTATTACTACTAGTAAAATCACATTTTTGTTAGTAAATAGTAATATTGTAGTATTTTTCAAATAGTGCATATATATTTAAAGTAGGTCAAGTGAAATTATATTTTCTTAATAATAAAAAGCAGCTCATAATACAGTTCTTACAAACTGACTTTGTTGTAAAACTTTTGGAGATAGATTGTATGTCTGTCTAGTTTTAGTCTCATTAGCTTCTGTTAGATCAAAAGCAAAATTCTCTTTTTCTTCTTCATCATGATAAAATTAAACAAGATGGAGTTGGAAAAATATTTTCAGTTTATTAATTTTTGGTTTATCAAAAGTAGGGATCAGGATATCTAGAGTATCAAAAATATCGCTGGAATTTACATTATCACTAAAATCTGCATTAATTTCAGTGGTTTTATACTCTTATCTGAAGTATGAATATCATCAGAATTTCCAAATAATTATTTGATTCATTTATATCTTTGATTTCGATGTGATTATTAAGTACTCTCATGTGTGATAAAATTTGTTCCCTAAATTAAATTAAAAATTGGTTAATTATTATTTGTAGAATATATAAAAAAAGATTGGAAGTATAGAACATACATATTTTCAACAAATATAAAATAACATTTATCAACAGGAGTATGGCTTGTATAATAAAATATGTAAAAAGTATCATAGTAGATTTTAAAATATTAAATTTATCAGTTATCTCTATTCGACAACTAATAAATAACAATACTATCACAAATATTTCATTATTAAAACCATGACTATGACTATAATAGCATCGGCCCAATTCAATAATGAGGTAGCTCAGCTGTGTATGCAAGTATGCAAATCTCAATAATATAACATTATAACACAATATAAATAGTTATCAATTTTATTTTTAAAGACATTTAATTTATTATTATTTATTATCATTAAGTATCAAATATCAATGTTATTTTCACCTACCTATTTAATGTTTTTCTATGTATACAAATTTTGGTTGGTCTCCCTGTCCGCACGCTTATGACCTAATGTGTTTTACATACAAATTAGTAACATAAGTAATAACTAATAATATAATAATATGAGCATTTGATAAAATAGATAGTACAACTATGATTGATTCTTACACCTTATTTAATGTTTATTGAATTAAATATAAATGCTCTAATGTAGGTACATTTTATCTACACTTTACTTAATCTAATATGCACACTACACAGTGGAAGATTAACTAAAGCACTGGAATTAACTACTATTAACCCTTACTGATGTTGTTATTTATTTTACGAGCACCCATAACAATAACACAACAGCCCTTCCCTCTCCAACCAAGCACACATACTCTCATAGTCATATACACACCTACCTACCTGGCCATGCACATGATTGTAAATGTATCATATACATATTTTATCATATTTTAAAAATTAATGAAACAATTCAATTTATTCATGATGAATAAGTAATAATTAATAATAATGTTCTAATATTGTTTTGTTTGTTTTAGAATGACGATTACAATGCTTTTGAACAAACATTACATGAGGCTCTCAAAATGGCCTTTGATTTAAAGAATTTTGATGGTGTTACATATGTATACGATGTGTTAGCAAATGGAGCATTTATGAATAAGGAATATGAAAAGGCAAAAAATCTATTTACCACAGTCATTAGTCGGTTATTTGAACAAGGAGGCCTTGAAGACGATCTTAACGTTCTACACATAAGTCTTAAACTTTCTAAAATTTACGAAGCTCAAAAAGATTATAAGTAATTATATTATTACCTTACATTTTACTTTCTTGATTTTTAATTTTTGTTAATATAAATATATATATATATATATATTAATATATATTAATGCTAAATGAAAATACAAATATCAATTTACTTCTAATATGTTTAATTACATTTAGTACTTATAGTATTATGTGAATTACAATTATAAACTAATAATGTACTCAAAATATTTTATCACTTATAAATTATAATTAATAAGTATAAATAGTGAGGGGTTTAAAAAATTGATTCATTTAATGGGCCAATTTTGTTTAAACTAATGTATAAATAAAACATGTTTAAGGGATTAATAACTATCAAGTTAAAATATTCAATAATCGATTCAGTAAATGTTTAGAACTTTAACCTAAAGCATAACCTCTTTATATAGTTAATTGCCATAGAATAATCAAATTTTATAGTATAATACAAAGAAAAGTGATATTTATCTTTAATGTAGACTTTTTTTGTATTTTTTGATTATTAAATGTAATAACAATATACAATTTTAAAAATTAACAAATGTTTATAAATATTTTAAATATATCTATGTATACTAAAAATCTATATAATTACAATTTTCAATCTTTTATAATTATGTATTGGTTAGCACATGTTGTGTTTTTGATCTCAGTTTGAATCACTCATATTGGTATATTATAATACATTTTACGACATTCTCTTAAGTTATAACATAATTATATTTTATAATAATATTATTTATGTGGCTTGTTGTGGCTGCGTAAATGCTCTAAGTGTATGTATTGGCTGGTGTTGCTAGCTTCTGGGTGGTCACCCATCTTTAGCTACAAATCCTTTGCCACATATACAAACGTGTTTCAACCAACAATTCTAACATTTCCTCCCCCTACAAACAAAAAAATAACTATTGTTCATAGTTGCCGGGCTTAAGCTCAATAAAAAAAAAAATAAAAATATTATTTGTAGACTTATAGCAGATTAAGAATCTATTTATTATTAATTTTTCAATGTTTAATAATTTTATGTGCTTAAATTTGTTTCAGAAATTCTGAAATTGGTTACCTATACTGTGTACAACGTTTGGAGAAGAAGTTTAAAATTGATCCTGAAAACGAAGACGTTTTAGGTTTATATGCTATAACATTAGACGCATATGCTCGTTATTTAATGAACCAAGGACAAACTAAGAACGCAAGAGCGTATTTTAGAAAGGCCTATAATGCTAGTGTTAAGTTGAATGGAGAAATATTTGAAATGAATGTCATTTTATTGAATGATCTGGGAACACTATGCTATATTCAAGGAAAGTTAGATAAAGCATTACACTACTTTAGAAAGGCAGAACAAATTGGGCAACATCTTCCTGACATGGAAAATTTTTCGACGGTATATATAAACCTTGGTAATATTTACTTAAAACAAGGGATGTTAAAAGAAGCAGAACAAAATTGTGTGGAAGGAATGAAAAATGCTAAACGACATCGTTATGACGAAGGCAAAAAAGAAGCAGAAATTTGTTTAGCTGAAATAAAAAGTGCTATGAAGTGACTAATATTAAGTGAATTTGTTTCTGTTTTGTAGGCCAAAAGTTAATTAGTATTTTATTTCTTCAAATCTTTAATTATCTTTTATTACTATAATTTTCTATTGTAGATATATGTATGTATGAAATTATTGTGTACAAGAAATAAATTGGAAGGTCGTATGTTATATCAAATTTTAAAAATTTTAAAATAAAAAATCATTGTTTTATGTCTTATCAATGATAATATAACTAGAACTTTTTAATGTAGGTTTACAGTTTATAACTATTATTACTTAAACTCATTAGATTATTTTATATAATTATATAACTGTATTGTTTATACTGGCTGATTATTGAATTTCTGAATACAGTCTCTTTTTCTTTCTTCTTAAGTTTAAGTATCTTGTCGGTTATGTTGAGTAACAATTAATTTTATAGCATCTTATTTTACAATCAAATTTAATTTAAAGTTAATTAAAGTTTGTACACCACAAATTAAATTATTTTAAATAATAATAATTTTTTTTTTGTTTGTCAAGTTATATAATGACAAAGTTTGTTTATTATTTATATTTATTTTTAACTCAAGACTTAAAGTTATGACACTTTACATACTTTCTGGTACTTAACAGTAAAATATAATAGACATTCAGTTATAGCCAATATGAGTAAAATTTGAATAAAATTGTTTATATGTTTTATTTATCTATTAATATTATATTCATGGTTTATTCTTAGATAGTACTATAATATAAAACATTAGTTTTATATTGTATCAATACACGCAATATTGTGTTATACGAGTAAAACAACTATAAGTTCAGAAATATCTAGTTTATTTTTGAAACTTACATATATATATATTGTTTACTTATATGGATTAGACACTGTACTGAAATCTAAATTTTTTTTTTTTAATATGAAGGCATATAATTAATATAATTCTAATTATTTAAAAAAATTAATATAAATAATTTAAATAAAATATTCTAATAATAACAATGAAATTTGTCCGTGGCTATCTATAAATAATTAAGTAGTTTAGAGAATTCTATTCACTCAAATTAAAGTACTGAAAACATTTTATTTAAAATATTTATGATTTATCATTAAATTATATTGTATAGCTTTAAAAAATATTTAAAACTATTTATTTTTATATTTATATCCAAATAAAAATTGATCAATTCATTCATAGAATAAATAATTATATTAGAAATGTTATTTTTATGATACAGACTATTACTATTATCGTTTTATTCTTAAATAATATTAATCTGTTTATTATTTTTTATTTGTTTCGCTTATTATAAGTACTAGTATGTTTGTAATTAGTATACTATTATTTTAACAGTATAATATGGTAGTATAAAACTGTACATTTTGTTTTAAAATTACAATATATACTCTCAATTTTTAATTTTGATGTGGCACATATCTATTAATATTATATTTTCCATTATTTAAATCATTAAACTATTTTATGTTATATAATTAAGTAGCTGAAGTTGTATAATAGAAAGTTACCACTAATTTAAATATTATTTTTCAATTTTTATTCATATACTTGTTTTTAATATTTATTTAAATTATCCTTAATGTTAATACTTAATAATAACAATTTGGATATTTATGAAATTGTATGTTTTTTTTCTAGTCCGATTATTTAATATTAATTGCATACACATTTGATTAATATCATATTATAAATTTATATAATATAGGTAGTTCTAATAAAGAATTTAATATTCAACCTCTTTATTTTTTTGAAAATCTATGACTTAATATTAAATAAACTATTATGAATATGTTTTGTTCCTATTTATTAAAAATATTTAACTCGTGATAATAGTATTCGTTATGATGAATAATGAGTATACATTTTTAGAATTATAACTAAATTTTATTTCAGTACAACAAATTATGATTATAATACATAACTTTATAACATTATGTTCTGTAAAAAAATTGAAACAATATAGAAAACTATCTTCTTCAATTTATTTATTATATAATATTTATTTATTGTATAAGTCTAATGTAATGTATATATTTTAATATTTTATATCAACATACCTAATAGCTCTATAATTACAATTATGTTATAATATAATACTAATTGTCTTTACACAAAAAGGATATACCTGTTTGGGTTTTTTTTTCCGTATAAAACTGTTGGAAATTAGTCAAATAAATTTTAATTTTTAAAAAAGATTTTTATTTGTTATTAAGGTTTATCATGTTTTAGTTGAAGAAATTTGCATTGTTTGTTTTTCAATTAAAATATGTACCGATAAACATAATATTTATATTTTTTTATTTTAATTATTGTATTATAAATTATAACTAGAATTTTGATTTATATGTACTAAAAAGTAACGAAATATGCAAAAAAATTACTTCAAATTGTTTATGCGGTTTTAAATTTTAAAATTGCTCAATTATTCAACTATTATTTTTACCAGCTTATAAAATATATACAGTGAAACCCAGATAACTCAAAAGTCTAAAAGTCGAATTTTCGATTACTCAAATTTTTTTTCGCCCCCAACAGATTTGATTTATCGAGGTTTCACTGTATGTATTAAATATTTTAAAACAAATTTAATAACTTAATTTAGAAGTGCTAGGTATCTACAGAAACTAATACTATGTAAACAAATTTTAACTAGTAAAAATTATAATTTCATATAATTAAATACTTATTTATTTTTTTTTTTAATTTTGCCTTCCAAGATGCTATAAATTTTAAAATTTTGTAAAATATGCATAAATAGCAGTAAACCATTAAATAATGTGTAAACTGTAAAGAATAGTGGATTTTCTTAATTTTTTTTTATTAAAGTTAAAGCACATTTTAGGTAGGATCAAAGCATGATATTGAAATTTATAATATAGAAGCTGGATTTTTTGCATCTATCATAGTATAATATTATAATATTATAAATACCATTACAAAATGTTCTATAATGTGGTAATATCGATTTTTACATAATCACAAACATGCAAGTTCAGCTCGAGGTCGATACAACATGTGAATAGAATTGTCTAAATTGTACTCCTTAATAAATGACCGACACCGACACCCTTAATATTATTTTTAATAATATAATATGTTAAGGGGGCTCCAGTCGATTAAAAAAAAAATGACTCTTAAAACAAGCTAGGCAAAACTGGAGGAATTTGGTTTAACGAATTTTGTTTTTGAAAACGGACTATGGTTGATTAACAAGTTTACTAGGTTTTGCCAGAGGCGATTTTGAATATTTATTTCTTCAACTATGATATCCAAGAATAAAAATATGATATTTTTGAATTTATATTATTCATCATGAGTCATGACAATCATAATAATTGGAATATTAAAAATCGCTTCTGGCAAAATGTAGTGAACTTGTTAATCAATCATAATCTGTTTTCAAAATTAAAAATTTCCCTATAATTAAATTGGAATTATATTCCGTTAGGTATATAAAGTTTATTATTAGGTATTCTGAATATTAATAATATTAATATATCATTCATTTTAGAAAAATTTACACGCAAAGAACAATTTTGTATTGGAACATTAAAATTGTACTAGTGAATAATTTAGTTATTTAGTTATTTGTTGTATTAATCATAAGTTAAGGGGATTCGATATTTCGATACCGTGATTTTCTGTTTTTGTCTAACACACACGCCCGACATAGTATCTTAGACGTGTTTTTTGCCAAACATTCCAATTGATCTATTGAAGCGATACGATTTCTAAAAACAGATTTGAATTTTTCGTCAAGTCTACTTGAAATTGACTTTACCACATTTTTGATTTTTTGATTTTAACTTCTCAAAAATTTAAATACCAGAATTTTTAAATACTCTTTTTTAATATGACATTTTAAAAAATTTGGGGGATACTATCAAAAATGTGGGAAAGTCAATTTGAAGTAGACTTGACGACAAATTCAAATCTATTTTCAGAATTCTTATCGCTTCATTAGATCAATTGGTATGTTTGGAAAAAAACACGTCTAAAATACTATGTCACGCGTGTGTTAGACAAAAACAGAAAATCACGGTATCGAATCCCCTTAAATATAAAATCTTATTTAATTAAATTTAATACAAAATACAATTATTAGATAGAAAATATATTTATTAGGGTTTTACTTATGTTTATCATAAAGCTATTTTCAACATCCAAAAATTAACGAGTCCAATTTCCATAACTCATGTATAACTAAATGTTTGACGTCTGAACTAGGTATAGGTTGTTACTTTCAAATTCACATCTACACAATATCCTGGTCCTTGAAGATCTGCACTCTTAAAATTGGCTACCTACTTCTTCAAAATTGGACAATGGTAGTATGGTATTATAGCCTACAAAAAAAAACACAATGTAAATAATAATATTAAGATTGAAAAACGATTTAAAAAACAATACATTACTTTAAAACCAAGAAAAGGATCATTAATTTAAAGAAAAATGTCTTTAAAGCGCCTTTCCTCCTTTTTCATACGGACTGAGGACCGTCAATAGTGGAGCAAGGAGTTAACACTAAGATTTCCAAATGTGGGCATGTTGATGAATATAATTAAGTATTAACTCAAGATAAGCTAAGTTAAGTGAACACAGGTTTGTTCTAAGTCAAACGTTGATGGTTAATAAATAATACATTTAACTGGTTACATTCGGAATTTAAGTTAATTTTAAAACAATTACCTTTTTTGTAATTCAAACATTTTAACTAGGTTACCTACTATTAGCCATATCCGGTAAGTTAAAAAGTAAGTTTGTTGGATTTCATCATTGATTAAAGTATTAAAATATTTTATACATTTTGTTCATACATAGCATTAAATCATTAACAATCTACATACCGACAGGCTACAACATCAATATTATACCTATATACATTTATACGATTACTCATTTATTATTAGTTATTACTATTTACCTATTAGGTCTTTAATCGTTATGGACCATAGGCGTGTTCTGACCTTGTACAAGACCATAACTTATGGTCTTGTATGGACT